TTTCCGCAGGCAGGCACCCCGCATGCAGGTGGGGCCTCATCTTCCTCGGATGGGGGGACAGAGTGCTGCTGGGCAGGTCAGCATCCTGGCAGGGGCGGGGAGGTGGGGAGGGGGTGTGGGAACAAGCAGATGCCTTTCAACTCCACGCCTGGGTTTCTTCACGCTGTGAGTCGAAGCGTTTCATTGAGCCAGCAGCTAGGGAGGGCCGTGCTGTGGCAGCCTCAGAGCTGGGGACACAACACACCCCAGCTCACGTGGCCTCTCCGGTCCAGCGAGGGGTGACACTAAGTCATGGAGGGTCCCCGGAACGAATGGTAGAACGGCAGCTTCCAAGGGGTGCTCTGTGCTGTGACCTTAGACGGTGCCTGACCCCAGGGACCGGACATGGAAAATAGCAGGAAGGTGTGGCCATGGGAGGAAGCTACCTGCAGAAATGGGCCTGGAGCTGAGCTTCCGCCATTCCATCAGGGCAAGGGTTAACCAGGCAGCGAGGGGAACAGGGGACAGCCCCAGAGTGTGCCCAGTCCCCAAGGCGGGAGTGTGTGTGGCAGAGGCACCGGGTGAAGTGGGGGTTGAGACACTCCAGGCCAGACCCAGAAAATGGCTCATCCAGCCCCGGACTCACTCCCGGGTTCACCCCTCCCACGCATTCATTCACTGCATCATTCGGTCATCCACCTCTTTCCTTGCCTGCTCCCTCTGGGGAGTACACAGTTCAATTGGACTCCTCGGGAAGCTGGTGAGCCAGTGACGTGAGGAAGAGGAGGAGGAGGAGAAGGAGGATGACATGAGAATAATTGGGCAGCAGCTCAGGGCCAAGGACACTGTGATCCCTTGCAGACCCTGTCTCCGTGGGTCCCCACCGCTCTCCTGTCTGTTGAAGGAGACTGTATCTCCTTTTACAGATCAAGAACACACACACACACACACACACACACACACACACAAACAGAAACACACACACCCCTAAGACCCAGAGAAGCCAAGAGGTTGCCGACTGCCACGTGGCTGGTCAATCTCAGAGCTGGCATGGTCAAGCCCAAGTCCGTAGGCTGCCCAGGGAAGATGCCCTTCCCGGGAGCTGGAAAGGAGGAGGAGCCACGGTAACCCAGGGAGACTTCATGGAGGAGGCGGCTGGCTGCTCCCACCAGAGGATCCTGCCTCCGCTTCCTTAGCAGGTACCTGACAAGGGCCTGGCCGGTGCTGAGCCCATGACACGTGTGGGCCCTGGAGTCAGCAAGGGGCGTATGATTATGTCCCGTTAACAGATGAGCAGTCTGAGCCCCAGCATCCTCGGGATGACCACAGTTTAGCTCACAGCAGACTCGGGATTTGAACCCAGGGCTATCAGAGTCCCGCAGCACCCCCCTGCAGGACAGAGTAGAACAGCTCCTTAGGGTCTCCAAGGAGGGTTCATCTTTCAGGGTTTCCTCTGATCTGAGCCTAGATCAGGGTTCGGATTTTGAGATGGAAGAGCCACTCCTGTCCCTCACAATTTCATCCTTATTTGAGAGTCACACATATTTAATGGACAAACAAAACCTCTGAGTTAAACCCTTTCATGTTTTTCCATTGCATTTGGCTCAAAAGCCAAAGTGTGCCAACCCCCGTCTAGAGGCTGGCTCTTATTCATGCTTTAACAAAACGTCGTTTATATATGAAACACTTACGATGCACCCGCCTCTGATCTTTACAACTATGGACGCGGCCAACCTTCTGGGTGCCACGGTTGGATCCCCTTTTCAGACGGGGAAGCTGGGGCACAGAGAGGTTAGGGGATGTGCCCAAGGTCGCACAGCTAGCGCGTTGCAGATGCAGGATTTGAAGTCCGGTGCCTGGCTCCAGGGACATGCCCCCAGCCATGCCACTTGGGGACTCTCTTGTGTCCTAGATGAGTCCTTCTCCCTGTCGCTTTGCCATATCCCCCCAGCACCTAGCGCGGTCTCTGAAATGCACCTAGTCTCCAGCCAAAGGCAAATGAAGGCACAGCAGGTAGAGCGTTGGGCTGCCTACGTTTCCCTGTCCGGTCATCGACTCAGTGGCAGTGGTTTGGATTTGGTCTGGATTGTGTCTAATGGAGTCGGGCATCACAACGTGCCAACGGTTAAGCCCGCAGCTACTAACCAAATGGCCTCCAAGGAAAGAGCTGGCCATCTACTTCCGAATGGCACGTCCATGAGAACCCCACAGAGCACAAGTCTCCTCCAGAACACACAGGGTCACTGCCAGCTGGAAACAAAGTGGTGGGGGGGGTCACCTGAGGGCATAGCGTCAAAGACCCCGTAGCCCTGCCTGTCCCTTGCCGACTTCCCTCTGACACTTCGGCGGGGGGTGTGAACGCCCATGAGCCAGGATTGGCAACAGTTTGTTCTGTACCCAGAGCCTAGAACAGTGCCTGGTACAGAGGCGGCGGCGGGGGTGGGAACTGTGCAGGCAGCACAAATGAGAATTGTGTGTGTGTG